GTTTTACATAATGAAATGTCTGAATGAGTGCTCAGTCAAGACCGGTGATTCCATACTTTTTGCCAGGGGTTGTACATTGTAGCCTCAGCTGCCCTGGGGCACGTTGACAGTCTGGTTGCTGTGGCTGCCACTGGCGCCACCAGACTCTTTGAAGTGTCTTGCCCAAGGACGCAACAACTGAGACAGCTGGGATGGGGGATTGAACCAGCAACCCTCTGACTACAGGACGACTCACCTAGCCACTCTTCCACAGCCGCCACATGTAAGTAGTAGTAGTCAGTAAGTGTTTAGAGCAAATAATTCAACATCAATGGCTCTCATTGAATTAATATAAGAGATAACAAATGCTGTTGATCAAAAACAGTATTATGTTGGTGTTTTTGAATAAATACAATATGATATTAAAGGACCAGCACTACAGTGAAAAAACTAGTGAATTAAAAAATAGGAGACAGAAAGATATGAATTATGTAATATTAGCTGTGGAGTTCCTCAGGGCTCTGTGCTTGGACCAAAACTGTTGAATAATTTGGTCAATGTATCAGGGCTTCTGAASTGGGTTTAATTGCAGATGATACCACATTTCTGCATTCAGGATAAAATGTTAAACGGATGTTGGAGATGATACTGRTAGAATTTGTGAAAATACAGACCTGGTTTCACTTTAAGTTGTCACTGAATTTGGATAAAACAAACTACGTGATATTTGGTAACAGGAAGAAAACTATTGATGTCCCATTTAGAGTTGATGGTGTTGAGATGTGAGTGAAGTGAAGGTTGTGTCCTCATTGATTAAAAGCTGACATGAAAATCTCATATAAACCACTTAAGAATAAAAATATCAAAGTTGTATTGCTACTGTATAGCAATACAAATTTGATATTTTTATTCTTAAGTGGAACAATCACTTTTACTGGATTAAAGTTTGGGGAAAGCAAGCAAGACAATTACAAATCCTATTTTTATTTTACAGAAAAGAGTTGTTCGCATTGAAAAATTGCTTCCCGGCCACTGGAGCGTGTTTTGTCAGCAGCTACAACTGGAGCCTGACGTTTCAGCTCGGCCGCCATCTTGGATGGGTCCCTCTTGCGCACCAGCGCATTTTATTTGTACAGAAGAACCAACTAAAACAATCATAACTTCACAAATTCTTACTCGATTTTCACATGGTTTGGTTTGTCACAAATGGCAGAGATGTACGTAGTTATGATACACAATACTGTCACACAGTGGCAGTTTCTGATATGGGCAAGGTGGGCAACTGCCCAGGGCGGCATCTTGTCAAGGGTGCCACAATCCCCGCCTTTATCCTCCCCATTAACAAAATATTGTTTCATATCTGTCCTACTTGCAGGTAGTGGGCCTCCTCCACACTGAAGCTTGCAGCTGACCACCGACACACAGAAAAAAGGGGAGGTGAGGGGGTCGCACGGGATTCTTTCATCTCCTGCACGGGCTGTCAGGTACTGCGCAATCCAATGTTCRTCTCCTCTGAACAGGAAATGAGGCAATTCCATTTCGGTACATAAATGCATCATTGCGACCGTATTGGCATAAGAGTGGTGAGTTTTTCATGCTTGTCCTGAAAGCAGCATCGCGCATGCGCGTAATGATGTCAGCATCCGCTGGTTCAGTTCAGTCTGAAGCTTGAAAACAAGCCTCGCAGCTCCTGGAGTAAAATTTACCAAACAGACCGCCTCTGAATTATCTGGTGGATTAATTATCTTGTGAACA